CAATAACCAAAGAAATCTATGGACATTAATAAACAATAAATTAAGCAAAAATAATTAAAAAAAACTAATAACATCTATTTTATTACTGATAAAAATACCAAAATTACTGAGTCACCAAAAATAACTATAAAAATGAATGATATTTTCTGCATCGTGGGAAAAAAGCTAAGTAATAAAATCAACATACCGAACAATAAAAATACAGAAATGAACAATTAAACCTATATTCTTGAAAACAACAAATATTAACGAAATACAAGAAATAATCCATAAAATAAAAAATAAAAAAGGTGGCGTTGGCGGAATCACTTCAACAGTACTAAAAACATAAACAAATAAAATCTCAGCACCATTGGTCTACATAATTGATACTAGCATAGAAAATGAAATATGGCCAGACGCACTTAAGAAAGCGGAAATAATTCCTATCCACAAAGCCAAAGAAAAACATATACCGACAAATTATAGGCTAATATAACTTATATCGAACTTAGCAAACGTTTTTGAAAAACAAATGCACAAAAGAATAATTAATTTCGTCAATGATTGCAACTTAATTTCTAATAAACGATTTGGTTATCAGAAAAACAAAAGCACAAAAGGTGCACTATACCACATTACGAATATTATATACAAGCATCTCGATCCTATCATTATCACCTTCCTTGACTTAGCAAAAGCATTTGATATAGTTGACCATACTATTCTACTGAATAAATTATACCACTATGGAATACGAGGAAAAGCATATAATCTTATTGAAATTTATCTAATCAACAGAAAACAAAGTATTAAATTAAACAACCAGCGTAGCAAACTAGAAATAGTGCGTATGGGAGTAATTGCAACAAATGCAGGGCCTTTACTTTTCTTACTCTACATAAATGGTATTCTTTTAAAAATGCGAGACAATTCAATTCTATCTTTTGCCGATGATACAACAGTCATCTCAACTGGTAAGAGTCGGCTAGAAGTTGAAACAAACTCTACATGTGAATAAACAAATACAAACAGATGGTGACTGGTTAGCCTCAAATAGATTATGACTAAATCTTTAATTTGGAAACAACTGTAATAGCATAAACAAAAATTTGAACATCTCCATACAAGGTAAACTAATACACAGGGAAGATAATATAAAGTATCTAGGTGTAATCTTTGATAGCAATATGAGATGGGACCTACATTTACAAAATATATACAAAAGAACCAAATATTTAACTTTTATTTTGTACAAATTATCTAGAATAATGAGCACGGAAGTGCTCAGGATGATTTACTTTGCCCTATTCCATAGCATTGCGTTTTATGGAATTATTGCATGGGGAGGAGCTTATATTGGCAGAATCAAAGGCTTGCAAAACTTACAAAACAGATTACTCAAAATAGTTAATAAAAATAAATTTATAAATGAGAGGCATCCCTTGACAGAGAAAAAACCTTCTCATTAGAATCACTACTTTACCATTACGATGAACTTTCACTAATATACAACAACAAAAATAAGAAAACAAGAAACAACAGCCTGCAAATATCAAGAAGATTGAGACCAATCAGCATTAATAACAGTTATATTAGGGCTTGTGTATCCGATGGAATTGAGTATCCGACATCGGAAGTTCTTGAGGATACAATTTTCCCAAGCAATTTACTACTAGATGTGAGAATTTACATATGTATTCTGGGTAACTGCACCCTATACAATAACAGATCACACTCTAGAATGATCATCTTCAATTATAACAAAATTCTAACCATCGCAAGAAAGAAATAATAGCATACAAAAATTAGCTAATAATTTCAATAAATGTTTTAACACTCAAATTAATAGATTTAATTAATTTTACTCCAATTAATACCAAAAACAACCAATGATGACTCCTACAAACCCTGTACCAAGGGTTTTAAGCCAATAACATTCGTAAAAGCATCACACTCAGAATCAGAATCACTGCAAAATAAAAAAATTGCCAGATATAAACCTATAGAAATGGTTTTCGATGTAATCAAATGACTGTAGTTAACAACATTAAAGCAATAACAAATACAGTTGAGTCAGACCCGGGCAAGGCAATAACCCAACCGAATTGCATTAGAATGACATGGCAATATCAACTATCTAGGTAACAAAAAAGCAATCCTTTACTTCTACAGAGGAGTACAAGAAACCCAATTTTATATCAACTTTGTATATGGTCTAAAATTTCAACCGAAGAATAAATCTCAAGGTTAAATCCGATTTCTGGGTATGGTATCCCTCAATGTCCCAAACCACTTTTGTCTGAACAATTTTTTTGTAAAACGCCTACCGTAAAAAATTTTGGGATGGTTCCTTTACAATCGGACACCTTGTATACTCTGGTAAATAAATAAATAAAAAGAGTACAAGTAGACTCTATAAAAGCACATAGAAAACAAAATAATTCTCGCGAGATGTATCGGGACATCAATTTTATAAGACAAGGTTTTCAAAATAGAACAGAGGTAGTGAGGAATGAAAATGGTAATTTAGTTGCGGATACGACTGACAGCGTGAGTTATTTTGACAACCTACTAAACGTACGCGAAACCTTCGTTGAATGAAACTTCGGTGAAATTCATACCTGCGATCTCTAAATTGATGAATCCAGCGATGGAGAAATAGAATCAGCCATTAAGAAACTGAAAAATAATAAAATCACGGTATTGCCGACTTGTCGCCCAGGTTAACCCTTTAACGTCACAATTGCACTTTTGGAGAGCACTAACTTTAATTGAATCTCAAACTATGAAAGCGATAGAATTTTTTGATAAAAACATGTACCCTACTATTTTCGAGGGTGCTCTTTCAGATGCCATTGACAAAATTTTAAAATTTTCCGATTTTCCAAGAAAATTTTCAAATTAAAGTGAAAAAAACGCAATTTTTTCGGCAATATTTTTTTGTATTCAAAATTTTCGACTCAATTTTGACATGTTAGTGGGGCGAAAACCTTCATAGATCGTGATCTTTTTATCTAATCTTTCAAATGATACCAATAGATTTTGGAAATTGAACATGAAAATTTCCAAAATGGCGACTCAATCCCGGAAATATTTCAAAAAGTTCAGAAATTTTTTACACAATAATAATGGACTTTAGGAAAAAATATTATTGAACAAAAAGTTCTTAGAATTGATCAACAAATAAGATAGAATTTTTTCAAAATTTTTTTACAACTTTTGAAAATTTTTGAAAATTTTGAAAATTTGATAAATTTTTAAAGTTGTCAAAAATTTCTGAAAAAATTCTATAATATTCTTTAATCAATTCTAAAAACTTTTTGTTCAGTAACATTTTTTCCTAAAGTTCATCATTATTATGTAAAAAATTCTTGAATTCTTTAAATCCAGTAAAACTTTGGAAATTACAAAAAATCCGTTTTTTTTGCCAAATACTTGTAATGTTGTTATTTTTTATGACGCAAATCAATAGTATGTAGTGCTATTTATCACATTTCATGAGTTTTTTTATAAATAAACAACCATTTATTGCCGTACATTCCGAAAATTGTGATTTTTTCACTAATTTTTCGTATTTTTGTCCTGAATTTTGCCTTCTAACGACTCGAGATGTAATTTGATATATATTTGCGTTATATTTGTATGTGTTCTTATTTTTACATTATATAAAGCATATTGGGTATGATATTTAATTCACTGTATCTTTTATTTAAATATTTAGTGTTGAAATGAAATCTGAAAATTTTCTTATATGGGTATTTTTACTCTAAAATTTATTTGATGAATCTGGAAGTATGAAAATGGTATTTTTCCTCGATATATTTCTTAGAGTTTGTACGATAATATATTTGGTGATAATTGCAACGGTAGTTGATTCAATTAATCGAACCGTTCGCGATTCTGATTTTCGCGCGTTAGTTCTAAGTATTGAGAGAGAGAGGGGGCGCGCGATCTTTTGAATTAGCAGTTACGTTTCAGCTGTTGTTACGAATAGATATCGCCGAAGTTTGTTTCCACTGTTTTTCTCGCTGACTAATAGTTTTTTTATCCAGAATAATTACGCGCGTCAGTGCAACAACGTGATTAACGGATTGCGGCGTTACGATAGCGGCAGATTTGCAGCTGATAGGCGGTACGAGGCAGCGCAGTTGATAACCTAGGACCAGAGGCAGTTGATAGTTTATTGACATCAACAATTACGGCTGATCACCGTAATTGCACCGCAGGGTAGGTGCACCTCCCTTAATTATTACGTGACAAAATACATTTAGTATTTTGTCCAACCGTGTTAGCGTTGATTTTTTTTGTATTCGCGCCGAGCGTTAGATCGCGCCAATATTCGAATCTTCTCTCTCTCTCTTTCTCACCGAAAGTTATTTAATTGTAAATCCTATTCGCGTGCGTCAGTCTTTCGGCCCGACAAAGACTGTAGAGATTTTTTATTAATAAAATCTATTAAACTTATTCGCCGATTTCGTCATATAATTTTTCCTAATAGTTTAAACAATTGAAAAAGGCTTAGGTTTTAATCCGATTATAGCTAGGGGATTAAGTGGATTAGGAGCAAAGTCGATTACACTTAAAACTCATCGAGTATCACAAGGCACGTGAATTAAGGTGAGTTCAACTCTGCTTGATCGAAGACAACTAAGTTAAGTCAGCTGACGTTAAGGCGAATATACGTATTAACATACGTGTTAACGGAGCGGCGGTTTGCTCTGCATCGTGGGAGTTTGTTCTTAAATAAATTTCTCATTTTGTAGATTTATCCCCCCGTTACATAATATAATTAATTGTTAAAAGTTTTATTACATACATATTATTCTTAAATTTTCTAATAATTTTTTTATATCTCTGATAATTTTTTTATATCCCTGATTGTAAGTTCCTTTATTTTCATAAATAAAATTTTGCTGCATATTTCATATTTCAGTTTTTATTCTAATCTAATATAGTTCATCCAGAATTTTTACAATAACCTTGTATTTTATCTTTATATTCGTTTTGTAATATTGACTATGAGCAAAAGAAAGAGTGGTGACAACTTGGTGACTCCATTGAGAAAAAGTTGAAGAACGAGAAAAAAAAATCACTTGGACAAGAATGTTGAATTATTTGAAAATGATGATTACATCGAGGCTGTACTTATACCTGATCCAGATGATTCGGGTTCTGGCGGTTCAGGTAATGAAGATAATAATGATGATGTTGAAACTGAAAGTAACGATGACGATGAAAATGAAGATGACGAAGATGAAAGTGACCTAACTAATTCTTTACAATTAACTTCATTTCGTACTGTATTAGATGGTTATGATTCGAAACAAAAAAAGCTAGAACCAGATCATAAATATGATTGGATGACTGGAGAATGTACATATAATGATATTATGACGAATGATATCTTACTTATTGTTAGTGATATGCAGAAGAAGCATATATTATCTCTTTCTCTTATTGAATTATTTGAAGATTATTTTTCCATCTCTTTCAAGCAGTATATAATTGATGCTACTGTACAGCATGGTTACAATTTATCAGCAGATAGATTAGATGTTTTTTTAGGAATTGTCATTTTTACAAGTTTTAACGGGCGCAATTCTCAGCGAGATTATTGGTCCACTGATACACTTCTTCGATCAGATGTTATTTGTGATGCAATGGGGCAGAGGGAATTAGAAAGCATAAAAAAACATGTAAAGACTACGAAATCTGGCGATGAGAATAGCAATGATAGAATATGGAAAGTTAGAAAAGTTTTAGATATATTTAATAATAACTTGAAAAAGTACGGTTATTTTTCTACGGCTTTGAGTATCGATGAAATGATGATTAAATTTTATGGTCGAAGTTTACTGAAACAGTTTATAAAAACAAAACCAATCAGATTTGGAATCAAAATGTGGGCATTGTGCAGTTCGGATGGTTTTTTATTTCACTGCGATATTTACTGTGGTAGAAATGCACATAACAGCTTTTTATCAAATTGTTCACAGGGTAGTCGTGTAGTGATACAAATACTTCAGGATCTAGTACAGCGAAGTTCGCTTAGAAGATTATTAAAATATCATGTTTATTTCGTGACGGAGAATTTCGGCTTGCCGGCTTCTCCTTTGTCTCTCTCTCGTCCGTTCGTTGCGCCCGGGCTGAGGGTGTATTTGTATACACTCTCATGCCTACATTTTCTCTGTTTGAGGTGCGGCGAACGGGCATTGGCGGAGCTGGAGGCGGCCGACGAGGCGACGATCCGTTGCCAGGATCGTCATGCAGGAGAGCGAGCGGGATGGGGAGAGCGCGGGCTACGCACGCATCCGACGCGTGCGCGACCGGGGGGGAAATCGGCAGTATCGTTTGGGCTGGCCGATCGCGTGCGCGCGTTGTTTTTCATTCGTCGCCGATTTTGTTGTTTTTTCCGTTGGTTTTGGAAGCGGTGCGGTGCTTCGTCGTCGTTTTGTTTGAGGATGCGCATTCGGTGTCTGGGCGCGCATCGGTGGTAATTTTTCTTGTGCGTGGAGTGAGTGGCTGGGTCGCGCCCAGCCAAGTCTTGCCGCCCAGCACCGGTGTGCGCGGATAACGGCGAAGCCCGTACCGCCGGCGCGTGCGCGTTCGGCGAGCGGCTGTGGAACAGCCGACGGCAGCGGCAGCAGCGAGTAGCAGTGGCCGGTTGGCAACAGCGGTCGACGGCGGCAGCAACCAGGGGTGGCAGCGGCCGGTTGTCAACAACAGCAACAACAGCGGGGAGCAGCGGTAGCAGCAGTAGCGAGCGGTAGCCGGTGGCCAGGCGCGGCCAGCTTTGTTGCAGTCTCCGTCGGCGAGGTCGGTGCCGGTTTTTCTCTCTCTCTCTCTCTCTCTTTCCCTCGCTCTCTTGCATGTCCGGGGGTGTTCACGGGTGCAACGGTGCAGGTCGGGCAGTGATGCCGGCCCCCGTTGCCGGGTTTTGAGGTCGCGGGTGCATTCGCGAGCGAATAGGCTTAGTCGAATTATCGGGCAGTGATTGCTGATAATCCGATTGAGCGGATTAAGCGGATTAGCGAGTTCTGCCGATTTGTGAGACGGAGCGTGCGTGCTCCGTCCACTTATTAATTTGTGTTCTTTTTCTTTTACTTTCTTTTATTGTATCGTATTAATAAATTTTGTTATACATATATGTGTCATATGTTATTGCGTCAACCCGTTCGTTTTCCCGACTTTCCTTTAATTCGTGCGCGATTAGCACACACGCTCGGTGTGCCATTCAGTCGTGGGAGCATTCGTGCCTCCCGAGCCCTCCTTTTGATAAATACTGTGCGGACGGCCGCGAGCAAAATATTCCCTTGAATAGTCGGCTTAAATAATTCCGTTACAATTTTGATAATTTATTCTGCAGACTTGTTAGTTTATTTGAAGAGATTAGATATCAAAGCAACAGGAACAGTTTATAAAGATCGTATAACTGAGTCTATTAACATTGATAAGAATGCTGCTAGAGGAACATTTGCAGTAAAACATAATAAGGTGAGTGGAGTAAATTTTATTACCGTAGTCGATTCTAAACAAGTATCTATTCTTTCTACAGCAGCTGGTGTTACGCCCCTTGCTTCTGTTAACAGGTACAGCAAAGAAGAGAAAAAAAAAGTATCTGTAGGATTCCCGTGTGCATTCAAATGGTATAATAAATTCACGGGTGGGGTAGATACACATGATCAACGGGCCAGTGCCGTGATTCCAATAATACGTTCCAAAAAATGGACTTGGCCTATCTTGGTACGGTTCATACAAATGTCTATTGCTTGTGCAACTGTTATGCATAATAGAGTAAATGAAGGTAAACCGAAGAAAAGTACAAAAGACATTGCAATGTCTATTGCAAAAGAGTATTTAGCTAAGTCTCATCAAACTCCAAAACAATTACATCAATTTACAGATCATAAAAATTTACAATATTGTCACGGCTGCGAGATAAGATCAAGAAAGTTTTGCATTGACTGTCAGGCATACTTTTGTGAGAACTGTTTACAGAAAACACACTAAATTCACAAACATAAATCTAAATAAAAAAAATAATTATCAAAAACAAAAAAAAACAAAAAAAAGAAAAAAAAGAAAAAAAAACAAAAAAAGAAGATTCTTTGAAAACATCTACCTCCACGCGGTAAGAATCGGGCAACATCATAAAATTAATCGATGGCTAAAGATGTTTCATATATATATATATATATATATATATATATAGTCGTCAAAAGACTTCTCGAGTCGTTAGAAGGCAAAATTCAGGACAAAAATACGAAAAATTAGTGAAAAAATCACAATTTTCGGAATGTACGGCAATAAATGGTTGTTTATTTATAAAAAAACTCATGAAATGTGATAAATAGCACTACATACTATTGATTTGCGTCATAAAAAATAACAACATTACAAGTATTTGGCAAAAAAAAACGGATTTTTTGTAATTTCCAAAGTTTTACTGGATTTAAAGAATTCAAGAATTTTTTACATAATAATGATGAACTTTAGGAAAAAATGTTACTGAACAAAAAGTTTTTAGAATTGATTAAAGAATATTATAGAATTTTTTCAGAAATTTTTGACAACTTTAAAAATTTATCAAATTTTCAAAATTTTCAAAAATTTTCAAAAGTTGTAAAAAAATTTTGAAAAAATTCTATCTTATTTGTTGATCAATTCTAAGAACTTTTTGTTCAATAATATTTTTTCCTAAAGTCCATTATTATTGTGTAAAAAATTTCTGAACTTTTTGAAATATTTCCGGGATTGAGTCGCCATTTTGGAAATTTTCATGTTCAATTTCCAAAATCTATTGGTATCATTTGAAAGATTAGATAAAAAGATCACGATCTATGAAGGTTTTCGCCCCACTAACATGTCAAAATTGAGTCGAAAATTTTGAATACAAAAAAATATTGGCATATACGGCATCTGAAAGAGCACCCTCGAAAATAGTAGGGAACATGTTTTTATCAAAAAATTCTATCGCTTTCATAGTTTGAGATTCAATTAAAGTTAGTGCTCTCCAAAAGTGCAATTGTGACGTTAAAGGGTTAATAAAAAACAGGAACCCATATATCACAAAATAAATTTGTAACCTAATACACGCAATTTGGAAAACAGAACGCATACCAGAGCAATAGAATACGTCCTATCTACAAAAAAGTCGATCAAGCAGATTATAATAGTTATCGGGGAATCTCAGTAGTTCCTGCATGCTATGAGATCTTATCCAATATCATTTTAACTAGGTCAACCCCTTCTGCGGAGCAAATCATTGGAGATTATCAGTATAGATTTCGCCAATATAGTTCTACAAGATTCGATTATATGCGTGCAAATGTACTGGATTCTCGAGTTTTTTGGTACTCCAAAGAAATTAGTAAAGTTAATCGAAATGTGTTTCAGTGACAGCAAGGGCAGAATACGCGTAGGGGGAATCTTAGCTGGAGAATTCTTTATTTGAGATAGCCTAAAACAGGGAGATGCAATTTCGTGCAACCTTTTTAATTTAGTCTTTCGTATCCCGGGAATTCTAATTAACAAATTAAAATAGAAATCAACAAATAATTGCACGTTGCGAACTTATTGAAATCAACAACATATTGCCACATTGAATATATTACAATTGAAGTTTCTTTGAAATTATTCACATTTAATTGGCAGGTTTCTTGAAAACTATCAATATTATTGAAAATAATTGGATTTTATTGAAATTCAATAAACTAGTATAATTTTCAATATCACATTTTTAGCAGGGCCCTGCTCACATTTTCGGATTAAAAATTATTAAAAATAGACAAGTCACTTTCAATCCTATATCTGAATCCTTCAGAAGTTGATTAAAATGTAATAACGTCAGATAACAAAGCGTAAGATTAAAAATTATTAATATAAGGTAGATTAATTGCGATTCAAATGGATTAATTTCTTATGAGTTTTTAGTAAAATCTAAAGTTGTACAGGTAAATGCTCGGAATGCGAGATATTTATGTAAGCCGCCGAACAACTTCGAAATTCAATAATTCTTTTCCTCGCTGATATAAACTAGTTTTGAGTTCAATTTCATAATATTTGCATTGTTCTAAGTATTATGTAACGGGGTTTTTGATACCCCGTTTGGGGTGATGCTAAGTGGCTACTCGGCTTGCGGGTAACACGTTATGGGGAACACGCGGGACTCAGCCCAGCGGCTCAGTTATGCCCCTCGAAGGCACCCTTGCCTTCGGCCCGCGGAGAGCGTCATAGGTCAGGTAGCAGCGGTCGGTGCAAGTCGGCGTGCGCGTAACACGGGAGGGAGGAAGAGCCGAGAGGAAAGACGCAGCGGTTATCAGAAAGAGTATTTATTAAGACGAAGATAACAAAGGAAGCATACAAATAGCATTCGCAGTGAGAGAGGCAAGCGAGAAGCAAGCGAGAGAGAGAGTCTTAAGATCGAACGGGCACTTACATGACAAGTTCGCAGTGGCCTCGGCTTTAGACTTAACACGCGCAGGTGTTCGGCCACGAGGCAGCTCTCTCAGGCTGACCGATTAAGATCTGCAAGCACGCACCCACGCACGCACGCACGCACGCTGCACCCTTCGTCTTTATCGGCAAGAAAACCCGAGCTGCGTAGCACCAAGCACTTCTTCCTCGCGCTGATCGCCGAACTTGCTTGCTTTCGCGAAGGCGGGCAGCCGACTCTGTCTCGCACGCGGACGTGGTCCCCCTCTCTCGCGCTAGCTATTCGGCAGCGGCGCGTCTCAGCCAATTAGGCAACGTGTGCGACACTCGGGCGCCCACGCTTACACGCGTACACGCGGATCTCTCTCTCTCTCTCTACTCGGTGCTCCCTGACTTACCTCGTGCCGCGTCCACCGCTACGGCAAGGCAAAAATACATAAAGAAAAGAATACATGGGTTATCAACAGATTATGATTAACTTAAGGGGAGAGAGAGACATAACGAGCCTCGGCTCGTTATATTCCCCTTCCCCAGACGCTGGTAGCGAGGTTGGTACCAGCTCGACTCACTCTCTCTCTCGACCAGGTAATAAATACAGCCAATATGTGGGAGAATACGTTTTTAATAGGAAGGTGAACAGATTACAGAATGAAAATACAATTTTTGAGGAGAGGTAGCTTCGGGGCCTTGTCTCTCTCTACAATTTTAAACGAACAAGAGTGAATCTTTAAAAACAAAAAGGGGCGTCGGTGCCGATACAATCAAAAAAACAAAACGAAACACAATCCAGCCTTGGGATGCTTCGAAGCGATGGTGAAGAAAAAAGGGAGAGGGGCTGAAGCGACGAGGGCGCTGGCAGGCCAGCGGGCGAATCGCGCTGCCGTTCCTCATTCCCTGGTAGAGCTTCCGCGCCGTCCTGGGATCGGTACCGGGCTGCAGGCCTCCGGATATTCATACTTCGGGTACCTCCCATTCCGGAATAGCTGGTGCAGGGCGTGGTTGGGGCAGTTGTCCGTTCTGGACACCTGGGTCAGGTTGCACACCCAGCAGTACCTCTTGTACCGGAGGTCGACTCTTGGGCCATCGAATCTGCCGCATGGCTCGGTGGCTCCCTGGTACTGCAGTGCGGTCGGCCCTGGCCCGCGACGGGGCAGCTCCGCTGAAAGCAGCCTTGGGGCGTTTTGGCGCTCCTGCTCCACAGCGGCCAATTCCGCTCGGAGGGCCTCCAGCTCTTGGAGCTTTTGCCGCTGGAGGGCCATTAGGTCCGCCCTGATCTTGTCGGCCTCTTCGTTGGCCACGAATTGGGCCTCTGCAGCGTCCAGGTAGTCGCGCAGCTTGGTGGCTCTCTTGACCCGCTGCAGGAACTCCTGGGGCACCAAGGCTCTGGCACGAGCGTCGGGGTGGTCGGCGAAGGCTAATACCTCCCAGTAGGCTTGCTGTTCCTCCTTAGCAGCCTGCTGGCGAGTCTTGCGCCACTGCCTAGCCCGGCTTTCGAGCTGCGCCCACTGGGTTTCCAAGGGGAGGTCTGAGGGCCCCGAATCCTCAGCCCGCGAAGGCTTGGCGGGCGGCGCCGTAATGGCTGGCAGTGCCGGCGGGTGCCTAGTGGCTTCGTTTGGGGCGCCCTCGGGCTGTCCCAACGGGAGCGCGTCGGTCACTTTCTGGGCTGCGGTCTGGGCGGCCTCCGAGGCTGGCAATGCCGGGAGGGCAGCGGATGATGGCTGCGCCACGATGTGGAGGAGGCTGGTCTCCCCCAGTAGCTCCGTCAGGCTCACTCCCGATGGACTGGGAGGAACGGAGGAGGCGTGTGCCTCGAGGATATGGCTGATAAGTTGCTGCATCCTGCGCAGCTCTTCCACGGGCACGTCGAGCCTGACCGTTCTATCGGTCCTCGCTGGCAGCATTCTCGTAGAGTTCTGGGGTTATATGAGCAAGGTTATATGAGGAGCGATACTCGAGATGAGTTATCATCCAAGCGGGTTAGCAGCAGAAGGCGACTGAGATAAGCAGCTGGTTAGCGAAGCAAAGCGGAGGAGCCAAAGTAAGGAAGGAGGCACTCCATGAACGAAAGGGCTGCGAAGGGTGGCTGGTTAAGCGCGCGGTCCGCCCGCTCGGGTGTTCTTTGGGCGCAGGCGTCTCGGTGACGTTTCTACCGGCGGCGGAGCGCTCTTTTTCGAGCCGGGCGGCCTACCCCTTTTTCAAGGGGGTCGCCCCTTTGGCGCTAGCTCCAGCTTGGTGGCGTCCTGGCTGTGTGGCGGTTGAGGCAACGTTTCGCGCGCGGGAGCCTGATCGCCCGAAAGCTTGGGTTCGTCGCTATCAGGAGCCGTATCTTGTTCCCCGTCCGAGGCTAGTTGGTCTTCACACCCGCTATTCTCCGGGAACTGCTCCGCATCGTGGCAGGGTTTCAGGTCGCACACAGCCACTTTACCTATGTCGACTCCGCTTTCGTTTTGAAGCTGGTAAGAATTCGGGCCTAATCGAGCGGTGACAACAAACGGTCACGCATACTTGGGACAGAGCTTCGCGGCGATAGCCCGGCAGCCGAGGAAAGCACGCGATTTTTCGCCCATACCTTGTCG